AAAATACTTTAATTGTATCGAACACAGTTTATTCCCTTCGTAATTACTGCAGTTAATTACAGCACACTTCACCATTTTCAACAAATTAAACTCGCACTGCACGGCATAAAATCTATAGTGTACACCGTGTCGCACTACACAATTCGCGTTGCTACGGTTCGCGCTGTTGAAAGATAGCAATGACGTCATTTGTTTACATCCGAACCAGATGTTTACTGTCGGTAGTAGCCTGCCTTGTTATGTATGCCGTGCATGCTTGGACAAGTGATGTGCTTACACTCAAAGATAAATTAAATTAAAAAAGCTTTAAAAGTATGCAGATTCCCGCTTCATGCAGTAGTCATGCATGATTAAATTCGAAATAATCTTTCCACTATTAAATTTGATTCTGTTTGAATATTGATATACAATCAAAAAAGATTAAAATTCAATCAAAAATTATTAAATGAATCAATAATGATTACAATTTATTCAAAAAAAAAAAAAAACATAATATTCAATCTAATCAACCATGATTAAACTGGGTTTACTTACAGATGATTATTTTTTTGAAATAGAATATTAGTTTTTAATCATTCGATATGATTAAACTGAGTTTAATGTCAAATTGATTAAATTTTAAGCAAAATGGGAATAGTTTAATTTATCAGTGTATGCAATATTGTTGGATGCGGCGAATAACATCAATGACTTCAAATGCACCGGATCAGATTAGTAGCAAGTATTAGCAACTAGAACCTGTTTGTTTCTGTATATGTTTACGAACATTTTGGTATGAAACTCTTCGCTGACCAAGGTGGCGCAATGTTTGTACAGCTGTTTTATTCCAAATATCTATATATTTTCATTCACTCTTCATCGAATGAACGTTTTCACTACAAATCGACTCAACAAAAATATTGTGATCAATGGAAAATCTAAATCTACATATTTTTAAACGAATGGTTTGATATTTGGATCATTATCGTTATCGTACAGCGTTTTAAACCCATATCCTCTATGACGCTTTAAACTAGGTCATTCAAAAATCCGCATCAACTCATACTTTCAACAGAAAAAAATCAAAGATGGCGGCAGCCGATTTAAAAAAAAAGTGGGAAATACTACCAAATACCCTTCAATATGGGTATTTTCGGAATCGGGATGACGGAACGGGTTCGACGTGTACATCCCGAAAATAAATGTCAGACACCATTTTGTAATCCAAGATGGCGGCTCTTAGATTAAGAAAAAAAAATATATCAAATTTTGGTATTTTCGGAACAAGTACTACGCGTACATTCCGAAAATCGAGGTCTGACGCCATTTTGATATCCAAGAGGCGGCCAGTGACTTCAGAAAAAAACTGTCAAATAATGTGGATATTTTCGGAGCTGGTTCGACGTGTACATCCCAAAAAATGGATGTCTGACGCCATTTTGGAATCCAAGATGGCGGCCGTTGTTTTATGAAAAGCTGTCAAAATCTACGATATGAATATTTTTGGTACAGGACGCGTGTAGATGTCAAAAATCGATACCATTTTTGAAATCCAAGATGACGGCTCTCAGATTCGGAAAAACTGCCAAATACCCTGCAAGATGGCGGCCATTGGCTTCAGAAAACTGTCAAATATACAATAATATGGATTTTTTAGACGACATGTATATGCCGAATATCAATGTCCGACGCCATTTTGAAATCCAAGACGGCGGCTTCCGGTTTCAGAAAAGAAAGAAATATTGTCAAATACCCTACAATAGGAATATTTTTGGAAAAGGAATGACGTCTAGATAATGACATCTAGAAATAAAAAATGAGTGTCATGAAATCCAAAATGGCAGCTGCAGGATACGGGAAAAGTGGGAAATACTGTCAAATACCCATGAATGTGGGTATTTTGGGATTCGCGGTGATAGCTACGGACTAGCAATTACTGTCCGATGCCATATTGAATTCCAAGATGACAGCTTCTGATTACAGATAAACTGGATAGTAATGGTAAATACCCCAACAATATGGGTATTTTCGGAATGGAGACGATATGTAGAGCCTCAAAATCGATGTCCGATGCAATTTTGGAATCTAAGATGGCAGTCCTGTTAAAAAAAAAAACTGTCAAATACCCTATAATAGACAGAAAATTGATGGCGGACGCTATTTCGGCATTTCAATTTTCGACATCTGCACGTCGTCTTGGTTGCGAAAATATCCATATTGTAGAGTATTTTACAGTTTTTCCCACGTTTTCTGAAACTGAAATCCGCCATCTCGGATTTCAAAATGGCGCTGGGCATCGATTTTCGTTCTCTAGATGTAATCCCGATTCCGAGAATACACATATTGAAGCGTATTTAGCAGTATTTCCCACTTTTTCTGAAAACGGCAGCCACCATCTTTGATTTCAAGATGGTGCTGGACATCGATTTTCGGTCTCTAGACGTCAACCTGACTCTGAAAATATACATATTGAAGGGTATTTGGCAGTATTTCCCACTTTGTCTGAAACCGGAATCCGCCGTCTTGGATTTCAAAATGGCGTCTGAAATCGATTTACGGGTCTTAGATGTCATCCCGATTTCGAAAATATCCATATTCCATCCATATTGGTCTTGATCTACTGAACAACTTCGCCGAAGAAAGCAACTTCCTAGATGGCAAGGATTTCAAGATATCACACAAACAAAGATATCACAAATTCATGTACAATAGCGCCGCATAGTGAGAAAATTCCGATGTTCTGTCCACCAACCATAAGGCCTTGATCCACTGAACAACTTCGCCCAAGAAAGCAACTTCCTAGATGACAAGGATTTCAAGATATCACAAAAACAAGGACATCATTAATTCATGCACACTAGCGCCGCGTAGTGAGAAAATTCCGAACTTCTGTCCACCAACCTTTAGGTCTTGATCCACTGAACAACTTTGCGCAAGACAGTAACCTGCTATATGTCCAGGATCGCGAGATATTCCATGCTGGTCCCTATTAGGTCAAATCCCATATGCTACGTGTACTCCATTTACGCGAATTCGATTTACGCGGTACGTATTACTCGTGCTCTTCGGGGGAAAGCTGTAGATATATACTAAGAGGAAGAGGAGACAACTAGCTTTTTACTTTTTAATCTCTATCTCTATTTATATCTATCTCTATTTCTTTCTTACGCACTTCAAATCGGCCAATCACGAGCTTTGAAAGAAAAGTGGTTCGTTTTCGCCCCCGTATTGTCTCCTCTTCCTCTTAGGTTATAAAGAGCTTAGATCTAATTTTGCCTCAATTGTTCGAGTGGATTTTTTTTTGCACAAAATGGAATGTTTTCACTGCAGTTGACTTCTAAATGTATTTACCTTTCTGTACGTACCGTAAGATTTGATTAAGAGAAACAAACTGTTGTGATATTGTTGAAAATCTAACACTGCTTCTTGACCCCAAACTTGGCCTACGGATTCTAAATTAGGCCTAATGCATTGAATCGCAATTGAATTCACTTCGGCTTATCGGCGCGTTTTTATTGACTTTGTTCGGTAGCTTTTGAACTAAAGTATCGTACCAAACGCATAATTGACTTGTTCACTCTGGACTTATGCGATGTTTTCTGCTCGATAGGCCCAAAATGGGTGATTAGGCTGAAGTAGTGCTCTACCCCGTCTATTGTACAGTTAGTGATATTGCTAAAAAATCAAATCTGTAATTTTGCAGACTACAATATGTAATATTTAAAGCATCATATCAAAATTATCAAGCGCATTTGTCGATTTTTTGCATTTTTTTTTTATTTTTAGGCTACCATTCTTGAAGCATAGCTCATTCCCAAATGAAATCCAAACCATATATGGGAAGATCAAAATGACATCTTCTAGTCCTAAACCCACACCGGTAGTGCCTCAGACTCAACTCCAACATTTGATTGTCCCTGGAAACCAATGGAGCTTGCATGTTACAACTCATACGACCAGCCATAAATCATTGTGCTATGGACGAGTAACCTGAATATGCCAGATCCTCATTCGCACCAGCTGCCGCCTTTTCAAATCCCATCCTATTACTGTGTATTTAGATGTAATAGGTATACATATACTACAAACCATTGTACCGATCCCAAAATGTCAGACTAGACACCATGGGTGAGCAGCAAAATCTTCATCCGCCCGAAAATCGCCGGCTCCGAAAGGTGTCAGGCTGGAAGGTGTGCTTCCCCTGTATTCTCTTCCGGTAAACCTTCCATGAGGTGACCCGTTTAATCCTATTTGAAGCTGCTTAGTTGTTCCGTTCCGTTCCCCCGCTGGTGCTACCACGGAGTCAAGGTTACGTCACCGGGTGACGTCCCAGCTGTCTTCCGCTGCGTTCCTTGTTTGCTGGTATGTTAGTAAGGCGGTGGAGCAGTTACAAGTTACAACAGCACAGTCAGTCTGTGAGCGGTGGAAACGGATTAGCTCATAAAACATGACCTTTAACATTTCGGCTCCTTCCTTGGGTGGAATGGGAATGGAAATGCTTTTCGTTCGTCCATTCGCTTTCGGTTATACAACCTTGGAGAGGACGGCTTTCAAGTGGAAAAGTGGAATGATATTAGAATGTTAATTTTTAAAATGAAACATGATTAGCACATTTTTTCCTGACACGAATGAGATATGGGCTAGTGTCAGTTACGGAACGGTTCTTCGGAGGGCTATCAGTGCTGATAAAACTTCTGGAGCTTTCTGTTGTCTAGATTAAGAGTTAGGAACAGTTTGAGTAAAATTAGATAATTAGAAACCCGATCAATATGGTGTGACCTCTTTCGCAATCTCTGGCAAGTAATTTTCCGGCTCATATGTTTCAATTTCCCTACTTCTTTAATCGGTTCAGCTTTCCCTTCGGAGGGGATAATTAATTCTTGTCACGGGCCACCCTCTGTCGCTTCTATTTTCAGAACTTCCGTGCGGTAATTATCTATCGCTTTCCTTCTCTCATCGCTCTCACTCACAACCCCGTTGACGACACATGTGAATTGTGCAAGTTCATAGTGAATCCTTACCTGCAGGACCCAGGAACCATTGCCGGCGAAGGTATAACCGGTGTGGATGATGTGTCGGTGCCGGGTGAAGCTACTCAGCAGATTCCGTATGCACTGGATGAAGGTGTTGATCTGCGGGTGGATCAGGATCTCCGTGACGAGATTCTCGCTCGCATACTGGATCAACCGTTCACCTACGGGAAGAGAAGAAAGGGAAACGGTGGTAAGTACTGGGTCATGTTTCTCACATCAGTATGACAAATTGCGACCCTCGTCATCCGACAGTATAGAGAAATGACCAAGGTCGATCGTCTACGCCACATTCAAGGCGCTGTAAGTGCAAGTCACATTGTCGATTGGTTTATCATCATATATTTGAACATTCCTTGAAATTACTTTTAAACTTTTCGGACGGCTGAGTGCTAGGGAAATTGAATTTTCGCTTTGTTCATCTATTATGTACCTACCTACAGAGAGGTGAAAACGACGTTGACCGACTCAAAATATCATTCTAGGAAATTTTGAAGGAAATCAAGTGATGTCGTTCATTGATGATGAAGGTCAGAAAACAGATTGCGTCGTTGTTACAAAAAAAATCAATGAATGCCATGTCATCTAACTGTCTATGTAATTGTGGAAAAAGTTAGTGGAGATAGCGCTTTTATGTGTGAGTGAGAGAGAGATAGAACTACAATAAAGATTCAATGTAAGTAAAAGACTTACTCATATTCACGACATTAACTAAATTAGTGACTGAATGAGATGTGTGGGCAAGATAGCGTTAGAAAGATAGTAATGAAATGAAATTAATTAATTAATTTAGCTTTATTTAGGAGGCTTTCAGCCTTAGGCTGGTTCGGCTCCGTGAAATGAAATTAGTGAAAAGTAAGATAGTTAATAAATAGAGGAAATAAATGATTGAATTAGGCCGGAACAAATGGTAATGTTTACATTTGTCACCGGTTCAATTTCTGAAAATCATGAGGGGGGAAATTTATGATAAGTAACTGACCGGAAACTATTAATTCAAATGATAAGAGGAATTGTATCTTATCTTTCATCACTTTTTTTTATATATTCCATGGTTTCTGGCATGCTTCTTATGTTGATGTCAAAACATTCTGTTGTTCAAGATGTATCCTAGGATTTATTCAGAGTTCTTCTCAAAATTTTCTTGATTAGTTTTGGGATTCTATTTGGAGTTCCATAGAAATTTTCTCCTCAATATTCTAGCATTTCTCTGCAGAATACTCTAATGATTCCCTCTAAAGAACTTATATAGATTGTCTATGAAATTTCACCAAAAATTTCCTTAAATGTATTTTCATAGCTCTCTTTTACGTCTTCTTGAAAAACGCAACATATCTTTTTTTTCAGAATTCTCTTTTGAATTCCCTCAGAATACGTGCGCAAAAATAATGTAATTATCATTAGGGTGACCACCCGTTCGGGAAAAGCGGGAACAAATTGGGAATCAAAAACCATAGGAAGAAATTAGGGAAAATCTCGGGAATTTAGATTTTAGATTTATATGATTGTAGTTTTTACAGTAGAAACTATTTTCCATATGCAGTCAATCAATTGAGGTGATGAAATAGAGCTCCAAATTCTCGAGAATCAAACAACCAAGGAATGTAGGATTTGCATACAGTTTTCTATAGAAAAAATGACCGCAATCTGTAATCTGTAATCGTAGCATAAAACCGTAAAAACAAAAACAATTAATTATCGAACAACTTAGTGTTTCAATGATATTTGATTTCATAAATATTATTGTATAATATTACGGATAAATTTAGCCACTTGTAAAAATTTCACTTGTCATTCCGAAGTAAATCACAAATAACTTTAGAACGGATTAAAATATGGCAAAGTTTTTCTCCATAAATTTCCTATCTTCTGTTGTATTTGATCTATATTATAGTCATGGTTAATACCCACTTTTGATTATTAAATCATGCCATAATGTACCTAAAAACTCACTATTTTAAAGATTAAAATTGTAGCAACAAAGTTTGCCTGAAAACATGCGGTTACAATTTTTCCTTTTATAGTATGGAACCTACACGGATAGAAATCTCCTTATACCTTTTGGCAAATTTCCATTGCTGATTATTCATAAAATGTACAAGTCAACTAATAAGCAGACGCCTTACAAAAAGTTAATAAAGATCATGTGTCAAATGAAATGTATAAGCGGTCACACATACCTTTTATGCATTCTAATAGGACCTATGTGGTTTGTCTTATGGAATGTATAAGGCTGATGCTTTGGCAAAAGTGTATAAGTGAAACACATGAATTAAATAATTGATTTTCGTTTCGTGTAAGGAGTCTGTAAAAAAATATTTTTTAAATGTAGATGTAATGTGTAAAATGGATTATTTTCAAATAAAAAAAAAATACATAAACCCAGAACGCGTTTGGCAAGCTGTATTGAATTGCACATTACGAAAGCTCCGTAGGTCACGTTGAGTCCCGACAGTCGCGAAAAGCTGGAGAAAATTACCCATTGGGTATTTTCTCTTGAAAATTTGGGTAGAAGAAGTTTAGAGTGTATTGTTTACACTGTATTTTTATCGCTGTCAGTTTTTCGAATGTTGGAAAAAATGGCGTCACCCGAAAAGCAACGTCGCGAATTGATTTTGCGCAAGCACCTGGAAAATCCTCAACACTCTCATCGGGACATCGGAAAACAACTCGGAATCGTGCAGTCAACGGTGAGTGGTGTGATTAAACGTTACTACGATACTCTGAGCATCGAACGGAAGGAAAAATGCGGTCAGAATGGATGTTCTATTAGTGATCAGGATCACAAGCGTGTCGTGAAAGCGTTTAAGCGGAATCCCAATGCTTCGGTCAGGGATGTGGCCAAAAAGTTGAATCTGTCCAAGTCTTTCGTTCAGCGAGCCAAGGACCGGGATGGACTGCATACGTACAAAGTGCAGAAGGCTCTAAATCGTGACGAACGGCAAAATACGGTCGGAAAGTCACGGGCCCGGAAACTGTACACCCAGATGCCAACGAAGCCTCATTGCCTCATCATGGATGATGAGACTTACCTGAAGGTGGACTTTCGACAGCTTCTGGGGCTACTGTACAAGTTTGATGTTCCGAAGGAAGTAAGGACGTAGAAACTTTCAAAGTTTGCCAAGAAATACATGATTTGGCAAGCGATCTGCTCATGTGGTAAACGGAGTGTGCCGTTCGTGACTACCGGGACTGTAAACGGGGAGATCTACCTCAAGGAGTTGTTATGTTTAAAATAATAAGTATGAGTAGTTTGCCATAATCCAGTAAGTTAAGTGAAAAATGAGTAGACACTCGTAACCGTGTGTAGGTATAGTAGAACAGGCCACACCGCCCGCAAGGGGCATGAAGTAGTTCGCCTCCTCGTGGTGTGCCCTGGAAACGCTAATTATCGAACCCAAGGGAGAGATATTGCGGCTAAACGAACTACCGCAGAGTAGGGACGCTGGAACCCCATCCAGCTCGTCCCAGGAGGTTGAGAAGCCCTGCACAATCCCTCGTTGTGCAAAGGCAGGAGTGACGCCGGGTTCTTAAAGTGCTTAGCACACGCAGCTGGTAAGCGGTCACATCTGTCCTAAGCTGCCCTGTTGGACAGTTGGCTGGCTATCACGTCTGCTCTAGAACTCAGGCGAACAACGAACAGCGAACAACAAGAGGAAGGCCCTGCACTGTGCAGTAGCGAATGTCACGTCGGACACAACACCTAGTGATGCGTCATAGCGCAACCGGCCCCCTCCCATGAAGTAATGCTTTCCGGCGGTTCCGGGGAGGGCAAGGGCCTAGAGCACAGGGTAAGGTTTAGTGGGTCAGGAGAGCTATATCTCCCATCCCCACACCCTGAGTTATCTTCTCAGGAGTCTGGAAGCAGATTCCCCCCTGTATAAAAAAAAAAAAAAAAAAACACCGCCCGCATTCGAACCAACCCTGTGCATAAGAACGTTTGACAGCTAGCTTGAAAACGTTCAGGCGGAAGCATACGGCGAGAAACACAAAAGCAGACAGACTCACCGCCATCACTCCGGGAAGAACGCGTCGTAGGATCGGAAGGTGAAAATTGTCGCGGTCGCGTGCAAACTCGTCTAGGCAAAGAAATTTTTCAACGAAACTTCCCAGAGAATAGAACTAGTGACGTGACGTGGTGTGTTTGTGCGTGTACTTTGGGCGTGTTCGTGTGTGAACAGTTGACAGTGGAAAAAAGCCAACATCTCAATCATTCGCCCGGGAACCGACGAGTAGAAGCGGAGGGCACGTGAAACGTTTTTTTCCGTTCACACGAACGACCGCTAGATTCCTCCGCACGAGCTGCAATCGTGGGCATCTTCATTGAGAGCAAAGGGGACAATTTGTCCAACTGAACGAGCTACCGCTAAACCCCCACTGGGCGTCGGGATCGTCTACCGAAGCCCTGGCACGAGCACCAGCAATCGCGTGGTGACCGGTGCCGAAACCACCATACGACGTAGGAACAAAGCACAATTGCATGCAGAACCATCACTTTGTTTGAACCGTGGCCTTCATCAGATCGAGGCACCGAAAACGAACGGCCGAGAAGAAGACATCTGCACAATAGAACCCACCCCACGGGTAACGATCGTAGGTACCCGATCAAGCGAGAATCGAGCGAAAACACCTCCCAACAGGAGTGAGTAAACCAAGTCCACCACCGTGATATCGTTTCTTAAAAGAATGTGTTCATAGGGTGTCTTTTCTCCACTACTTCTGGATTCGGAGGCTACCCAGCCGCTCGGTAGCACACCGCAGGACGGATCATCCAGCATCAAACGTCGATGCACATTCAGTGCAGTGGTGTACATCGTAGGAGCGAGGTGAAGGCGTGGTGGTTTCGACCAGCCCATACGAGGTTCGGTGTGGCTGCAGCACTAGCAATGCGAATGAAATGCGAAGGGGATGTAAGTCGGGGCCCCGTGAAAATCTGTGAGTACTAGTCGTTAAGAACCTTGAGGTAGCATAGGAAAGAAATCCACAGGATGGTAGGAGGACAGGTCAGGTGGTCACTAGACTGATGCAAAATTTGACTTTTTTGCTCCACAGTGCTTAAATGGTTTCAAATCGGGTCCTGGTTAGCCTTCCAAAGTTACAACTCATTTGGTTAGAAACAGACTTCGCACAAGCCATTTCAAGTTTACATGTAGATTACTATGGG